ACACCTCAGCTGATATGTATCCCTATAATGTCACCCACATTTCTTCGTTTGAATACTCCAAAAAAGGGCAAAAGTAAAGTTGCATACAAGTATTAGTTATTATGTTCCCATTATTGATGTTGGAAAATACTTATAGTTGAACTTCAGGCAAATACATACAGAATAAACATAAACATACAGAGTCTATATAAACTAAAATTATAGAATATTTTTACTACCAATGAATAGCATCACATAAAAAGAAAAAAAAAATTACAATGTGTACACAGACCACAACTAAGCCTATACCTTTGTTTTTACATGATGGAAAGTTGTTTCAATATGTATTAATAAAGACTAGTGAATCTTAGGTGCTTAATTTATGATTTAATCCAATTAATAAATAAACCAAGCATGGCAAATATAAATAGATAAATGAACCAATTAACACACACAAATTAAATAAATAAATAAGGTTTTAAGTTGTTGGATAAGATGGCATTACAACATGATTACAGAGTTGGCAATTAAGAAACAAGTTTATGACATTTTCAACTCTAACTCACAACGTAGGTGTCCTATTTTTGTACCGTATGTCCCTACATGTCACATTTATCACCACGAAGCTTCCCGTTACGAAAAACACAGTGGCTTGGGGGCAGTTTTGTATTTTTGCCCTCCAAACCCCTTTTTTCGACTACGTTTATGACATTATCATCCCTAACTCCCAACTTATGTATCCTACTTACATACCGTCTGTCCCTACATGTCACATTTATCACCGGGAAGCTTCCCGTTACGAAAAAATAGTGGCTTAGGGGTTGTTTTGCATTTTCGGCCCCCGAAAATGCCTTTTTTCGACTATGTTTGTCACATTTTCAACCCTAACTCCCAAATTGATGACATTTTCAACTCTTAAAGCGAACATATTTAAACAAAGTAAGTGTGACATTAATGAAATTGTTCTTACCAAAAAGCAAACGTCGGATGCCCAACTTAGATTCCCAAGAGTTGTGACAGTTTGGCGACTACGTTATTAAGATGCTCGACCTTTGCATTTGTCTCCTCCCTTGCCTTTTGTCCCTCCTCCCGCTCTTTCAACATCTCATTGGATAATTGAATGCGCTCCTCTCGCTTTTTCAACAGTTCATTGTAACATTTCTCGCGCTCCTCTCGCTCTTTTATTAACTCGTCATGATCTTTTTGTCGCTCCTCACGAAGTGCCTCCACCTCAGCTCGCATTGCCTCCATGTCCTTATTGTGTGCTCGTGATGCAAATATGGTAGAGGGTTGTGGGCCACTCCCAAATCCAAACAAGTACCTTTTCTTCTATCCAAGCACTTGCATTGAAATCTCCTCCTGTGTCAATGGCGTCCCCGATTCGTTGGCAGCCGCTTGTACATTGACCATCTCTTGCTATCATTGCAAATAAATAAGTCGAAAAATACTTTGGCAACATATATGTATTACTGGGTACTAAGTACAAGAAAATATTGAATACATATATTTCCTTGTCACATACTTACATGCACTTACATGCAATTCGGATGGATCCAATCATTCGTTTTCTTTGAAGTGTGGCTGTCCTCATAGAACTTTGGGAAATCCAACTCTCCATTTTTTGCTACATGTTAACACATCAACGTATAAATCAATGACACTTTAAGACAGATTTGTTGCATCATTAACTCGTCATGATCTTTTTGCCGCTCCTCACGAAGTGCCTCCACCTCAGCTCGCATTGCCTCCATGTCCTTATCGTGTGCTCGTGATGCAAATATGGTAGAGGGTTGTGGGCCACTCCCAAATCCAAACAAGTACCTTTTCTTCTATCCAAGCACTTGCATTGAAATCTCCTCCTGTGTCAATGGCGTCCCCGACTCGTTGGCAGCCGCTTGTACATTGACCATCTCTTGCTATCATTGCAAATAAATAAGTCGAAAAATACTTTGGCAACATATATGTATTATTGGGTACTAAGTACAAGAAAATATTGAATACATATATTTCCTTGTCACATACTTACATGCAACTCACGACATTTCAAATGGATCCACGTATAAATCAATGATTTTTGCAGACAGATTTGTTGCAGATTTTTGCAGACAGATTTGTTGCAGATTTTTGCAGACAGATTAGTAGTTTTAACAGATTAAGCAGATTTTTGCAGACAGATTTGTTGCAGACAGATTTGTATGATAACAGAGTTTTTGCAGACAGATTAGTAGTTTAGACACATTTCTTTGCAGACAGATTTGTATAGACAAATTTTCATTAACAGCTTTGTAAACAAATGTCTGAACAGATTTGGAGACAGATTTGGAAATTTGTTGCAAATAGATTTGTAGTTTATACAGAGTTCGAATTCAAGAAGATTATCATTAACATAATTATATTTTCCAGCCAGATCTTTTGCAGATTTTTTCAAAATGACCACTACAAAATGACCACTGTTGGATCAACCAAGATGTCACAAAAGTCTGCAGAAGTGGAACTCAGGAAGCATTCATACATGACCAACAGAATCCCTACACATCTGAGATGTCTTACCAGCCATACTAACCAACCATGGCACAACAACCCAGCTGTAGCAACCCAGTTCAGAGTATACCAGACAACGCACACCAGAAAACATTCATAGATAACCAACCAACCAAGGCACACCAACCCAACTATAGCACATTGCATAACCACTAGTAGATTAGAGACAGGCAAAACAGACCAGACTATTCAACACCATACTATTCAAGACAGCAGCAGAGGACTTAATGCAGATGTTCCAGATGATTTCTGCGAACACATTTTTCAGATTTTGTTAAACAGATTCTGTCCAACAGATTTTTGCAAACAGATTTTCGCAGATAGCCACTTATAACCACTTCAGATTATATGTATTCTAACATGTGTTGACTTTCTAAAAATCTATTGAAACAGAATTGAAATAGATTTTTACAAACAGATTGAAACAGACCAATCAGAGTATCACTAACAGAATTTTCCAAACACAATTGAAACAGATTTTTACAAATAGACTTTTTCGGATTAGTTCAAACAGATTGTACGTCATATTTATTCAAATAGATTTTGTCAAACAAATTTTTGCAGATTTTGTCAAACAGAATTGAAACAGATTTTCCCAGTCAGATTTTGCGAGACAGATTTCGAATGAAAAACAGAGTATAGTCCTTGGACAGATTTCGAATGCAAACATCTGGCAAGGGTATCATTAACAGATTCTTTCCACACAGTTTTTTCGCAAATAGTAGATGTTTAGTAACAGAGTTCAACATAACATTTTCATATCCAAACATTACAAAGGATTCAAGTTTTAAAAAACATCAAACTCACCATAGTAGCCATTGCGATAGGAAATGAGCGAGACCCATTGGTATGATTGTACGGCAATTGACTCCTATTACTCTTGCCAGCTTTTGACCGTTTCTAAAAACAAGACAAACAGATAAACATTTTTTTGGTAAATACTAAGGCATATCACATTTTCGCATAGATGTATGTACTCTATCTAGTCTATTATTTTACTTGGTGAGATGCATCTTGCCATGCCACATCGATCAAATGCTTCCAATTATTTAAACTCACCCCTACGGGCGGATGAGCATAGATCTCATCACGTGGAAGTCCCTCTAATAATTCGAACTCTTGCTTCAAGGTGTACCTCCAATCTTTATACAACCCTTAGGCCTTCTTATTCACAATCTCTTATGCTTGTAAGTCATTGTGGAAATCGTCTCCAATTTGAAACTTGTCCTACAAGCATAACAAATTGAAATTGTAATCATTAAATAATAGTCTTTCTTATTAGCATACATAATACAATTACATCTTGTGGACAAGTAATATTAGTTACAAGAACTCCTTGGATGACGGCAGCTTTTGTAGTCTCATCAAGATCCAGCCATGACTTCACATCTTTCAAAGGGCACAAGGTTCTAATTTGAATTCTTAACTCATTAGTTGCTGGAGTGGCATACTTGCCAGTCATTGCATTCAACCGACGATCGATGTGAACATAACATTTTTCCCCTTTCTTGGCTTGAATTATTTTTTGTATGCCTTTGCCACGTGTCGGTCCGCGTACACGTAGGGGCTTCGAAGTCGCTGTTAACAAAATAACAACACGAAAATTGGCTACAAATTGAGTACAAAAAAACAATGGCAATGGCAAGTGATAATTAACACATTTGATACACTTTAATCTTACCTACGCCGCTCGGCTGGGTTTCAGATGGGGCTTGTGTCTCATCAGAATCAACCATTGGTTGGCTAGTGGCATTATGAGATGGTCCCACATTTGATGGGACGGGGAGAACACGAGATGGAGCAACGGGTGATCCTAAAGGAATAGTAGCTGGCGAGTCTGTTTCTGGCTGCGTGAGTGTCTTTTTCCGAAGCCGACCAGTCTTTAATCCAAGAACCATTTTCCAATCTGCCTGATGCTGGAACAATGTTTTATGTTCTGGATTAAATTTGTGTCACATGAATGAACTGATAAAAATACATCACATGAATAACCTGGTAAATATACATCACATGAATAAAGTAAAAAATAAACTGATAAACTGATGAATAAAAGAAAATAAGGTGGCAGCAAAAGAAACAAATTGTAGTTTTCAAAAGAAACTCATGAATAAACAATGGATTGGGAGCACACTCTTGGTTATAGTAGTTTTCAAAAGAAACAAATTGTTGGACTTATTGGGATTTAGTTGCAGCAAGCCCCAGTCTGATGCATATTTCAATCTCATATTGTCATACTTGAAGAAAAATTTATAGCATATCCACCTTGCACCTCCCTATCACAGGGCAATGGACATACGACACAATTCCATAAATACCATCCACATTGCATGCTATCTTTATAATCATCCACTAGAATAAACAACTACACACCTGTTTCATGACCTTTGCAATTAACAAATTCACCTCTGCTACTATAAACAGACCAGTAAAAAACAAACTTAGAAGGATACCAAGAACAAGAAAATAACAAGTGCAACTTACCAGGGTTTGTTGGATGAGAACAGATGGATTTCACACTTCCTCTGTGCCCTAACAGTGTTGCAATACCAAGAACAAGAAAATAAAATCAGCAACTTAGCATCTTCCTGCACAAATTCAAACCATAACTAATGTTAGAAAATTACAAAATGAGTCCAAAAAGGAGCAAGAGCATTCTAATCAACTCTGAGAAAGAAATCTCATTCGGGCTATCCCAGTGAAATTTTAAAATGCCAATGATGTGGAGAATATAAGACGATGTGGAGAATATCACAAGGTCATCTATGACTCAAACTCTCTAACTGGGCACATATGAGCTAGTTTAAGCAACCCGACTCATTCCTTTTGCACACTTGTTGCAAATACTTTTGCATCTTTATTTATCCTTCACAGGTCACTTCTTTCTTTTTCTTTATTTCTTTTATTTTTTTTTTCATTTTTTGTTATAGACCCTAAGGTCATTTTTTTCATTCAAAAAATAAAATTCTAAAATCTGTCACTAAATTCTTTTGTCCCAATGCACTTTCAATTATCCATACAAGATCTGATGTCCTAAATTCCCCCCCTCTATCTCCCTATCTCAATAGAATTATATTTCTATTATTCCTAGCCGTTGAATCATGAGATTCCTACACCACACATTTCTCACATGATTCATTGACTTGAGCATTTTGGGACAATAACATAAAGATAAAAAAAAAAACAAGATCCTGAGCCAGTCAATTGATCGTGTTTCAAGAATCTTTTCGTGAGATTCAATGTATTGTACTTACAACTAAGAGTGTGAGATAGGGACAAGTATGCAGAGACAGTTGAATTTGGGAACATAAGATCCCTCACCTTTTTTAGACCATAAACCTTGAAAAACAGGTGCTAATGGAAAACAACCATGGCCCATCAGCTAACGGCATCAATTTTGAACCCACAGGAGATTACATTTATAGTCAATATAACCATCTAAATCTATCAAAGTAACATCATTGATAGTCATAGCCAGCAGTAATCCGGGACAATGACGCTACAGGAGAAACTTACAGTGTTTACAAACAACAGAACTTTGGCATCAGAAGACAGTGATCGGTGGTCCCTCTACAATCAACCAATTAGATCCTTCACTAGCTCAACAACAGAGAGATCTAGAGCTTTCTGTACATTGCATTTAGTTAGAATCGAGAATTTAAGAGCAGCTGCCTACAGCCGCGGTTATCTGGGTTAGGTCTAGTAAGTGCTTTTATAAAGTAGTTACGGATCTCCGGTATTGTAAGCTGGATCAGATGAGAATACCTACATAAATTAGAAATAAATAATCATTTTAATAGGCAATGGAAGCACATAGCTAATCTAGTGATGAATATGAAAACACCTTTCGTTTTCATTCTAAAATGAATCATGATATGTAACATAATTCCACACTTGGTAATCATGCAAGATTGTTTTCTCAAGGTTTTTTGACATAGCAAAGTGCTCATTCATTTTAATAATATCAAGTTTGCTACATCACAGCTCTTGAGATTTTGATCAAATTAAAAAATGCAATATTTTAAAATTATAGACGATATGAATTTTGCTGTGTTCTCTCAGCAGCATAATTTATCAGAGCCACTGAAAATTGCCATAGTTACTCAGACCAGTAGCATAGTAAACCAACAAACTATGCAAAGCAAACAATAGAGGGGCAAGCTAACTCTAGCACCAGCATACCAGCAGAAGAATCTAAATCAAGCACCAAACAACCCAGCAGCATAGCAGCCAAGCAACTTAACACCCAATAGCAGAACCACAAGAATGGACTGCCAGGTCTTGATCCGGACTCCATTCACTACCACATCTGATACATGACCTACTGATTTCCCAGAACCTAAGCTTCCAAAACTGATTCCATGCCCTGGCCCACAGGTAATGTCCGAGGCTTGCACCTTCTGAGACCCACATACTATTGATATACAATCATCACACCATATGGAGGGTCGCACCACTGCCAAACTCAACTCCTGGCTCAACACCAGAAACAGAACTTGCTAAAGGCCACCACACAGCTCCAAATTCAGAACAGAACAAACCTTCACATTTTTCAGACCCAGCACATTGAACAAAAACAAAAACCAAAAACATAACTGAATGTCATAGAATTTTCAGAATTTTGCAGATTTCCACATTTTTCAGATTTCCAGATTTCAGAGTGATTTCCAGATTTTCAGATTTGCAGATACAGACCAAGGTGATTTCCAGATTTGGACAAAAACCAAATTATTTGACGAGCACCAGATTTTCTTATTATAACTATAGAATTTTGTCATAGAATTTTCAGAATTTTTAGATTTCCACATATTCCAGATTTCAGATTTCCAGAATTTGCAGACCTCTTGAATTTTGGAAATCTGATTTTCATGGAATGTAAAATCTGTCATAGAATTTGTCCAAATCTGCAAATCTGGAAAATGTGGAAAATGTCAAAACTTAGAATTTGTCATAGAATTTTCAGAATTTCCAGATTTTCAGATTTCCATATTTCACATTTCCAGATTTCCAGATTTCAGATTTTCAGAATTTTCAGATTTCCAGATTTTCTTATTATAACTATAGAATGTTCATAACAATAGAAGTTTGACAAGCACCAATTGTTCCAAAATAAAAAACAAAAACTCATTCATGGTAGTGGTTTATATCACGAGATATTGACATTTACAAAGATAGATCCCCTTTCATTATAATGAGTTTCCTTTGCATTTGTGCACCAGTTGAACATTTTCATTGCTCTAATTATGACATGCACTAAAGCATGACATACATCAAGATTCTACATCAACATCTGTATCAAAATCACTTTGTAGGTCATATTCTTCGTCTGTGTCGTCACCCTCCCTCATTAATCCATCTTCATCATCACAGATGAAGGCATCATCTGTAACACCCTTGGCTTCTACACCTCTGACAGATTGCAACACTTCCATTGGAATAATTTCAGATTCAATGTCATGTCGACGCAAAACCACATCATCATCAACAGCCATAGTAGGTACCACGTCGGTGGTTTCTTCTTGTTGGAACACATCATCAGGTTGTACGACATCCATCTCTGGCACATCCCAAATTCCTCGATGTTGGAACTTTTCTACGACTCTCCAATTGGTACCTAATTTGGTATCATTAACATAGAATACTTGTTCAACATGACTTGGTAATACGAATGAGTCATCTTTGTACCATCGACTTGTTACATCAACTGTTGTAAAATGTGGTTCTACACGCATAGTTCTACTACTACCGGTGTTAAACCATTCACATTGGAACAATACAATCCGACGTCTGAACAAATAGTTCAGTTCCCACACTCTGCACAAGTGTCCATAGACGTGTATCAATTGGCCTTGATGCTCCCCTTCCACGACTAATCCACAATTCTGAATTTTCCGACGGTTTTCACGGTCGATAGAATGATAACGGACACCATTACAAATACATCCTGAATATGTGTTCACTAAGCAAGCCACTAGGACCATTGGCTAATGACCACATATCATCAGTTACTTCGGGGGAAACTTGGCTCCGCAATTCATTTATCTACATGAAGAACATGTGTCATGTTACTAGCATGCGTGACATTTACATAATGTACGATCTATGGTAGGATATGAGAATAGTAACTTACATGATCTTTGAACCATTTAGAAAATTCTTTCCGATGTCTGTTTTCGATGTCGAACGCACCGGCTCTTTGGTGTAACAAGTTCTTGTGCTCCCTAGTTATAAGAAATGCGATTCAAAAATATTTACTAAGATAAAGACTAATCAATTTACAACAAAAACACTTTAAATACGTTTGAAGGATTCATACTTTACGTGTTTATCCACTTCTGTGCTATTGTGTAGGACAAACCAATGAGCCAACTCGCGTTCAGCTACGGACACATCGGACGCCCTTGTCATTAGACCAAAGGGACGTACAGTTTGAGTGAATACCGCCAACCCTGGGCCACGGTCACCCATGTCATAATTCCTTGCTGGGCGGTTAAACAATGTTTCAACTCCATCCAAATACATTGAACAAAATGTTATACATTCTTTGGAAATGTAAGCCTCGGCAATAGAACCTTCAGGATGAGCTTTGTTGGCCACAAACCCTTTTAGACGGCCAAGCAACCTAATTTTGCAAGCCGATGGCAATGTTATACTGCAATATTTATATCAGCAGTAAAGCGTTAACTAAAATTTGACAGTAATACGATGGCTGAGTTAATACCTCTCAATTGGGTACATCCATCGATATTGCACTGGGCCTCCAAGCATAGCCTCTCGAGGTAAGTGAATTGCCAAGTAGACCATGACATCGAAAAAAGCCGGAGGGAAAATCATCTTAAGCTTACAAAGTATGAGTACGATTTGTTCATCTAATTTATGCAAATCTGAACGCCTCAATGTCTTTGAACACAATTGTTTGAAGAAATTTCCCAACTCAAAAAGTGTCGTTCCGGTTTCCTTATTAAGGTAGCCACGCATCCCAATTGGAAGAAGTCGTTGTATAAGGACATGACTGTCATGACTTTTGAGGCCAGATAATTTTCCAGCTTGAGCGTTTACGCAATTGGAGATATTTGCTGCATAGCCATCAGGGTACTTCATTGATTTCAAGAAATCACAAAAGCCTTCCCTCTCTTTCACCGACAATGTGAACAATGCGGGAGGCTTCTCAAAGGACCCATTAGAACACCTCTTCATGTGTAACTCTTTACGTATTCTCATGTCCTCCAAATCTAAGCGTGCTTTGTCCGTGTCCTTTTTCTTTCCATCTATGCTCAAAAGTGTCCCAATGACATTGTCACATATATTCTTTTCAATATGCATGACATCAAGGTTGTGTCGAAGCTTCAACGTTTTCCAATAGGGCAAGTCAAACATAATGCTTTTCTTGCTCCAATTCAAATTTTGATGTTCATTCCTTTGTCGTTTTCGATTTTGTGGGTGCTTTCCATACGGCTTGTAAGTCCCAGAATCAATTTGCTCTAGTATTTGGTCCCCGATAAGTCCAAAGGTTTGGACCTATGCTCCGTTTGACCATTGAAGAGTTTACTTGTTCGCCAGGTGTGGTTCTCAGGAAAGTGGCGACGAGCACCCATATACCCTATTTTACTTCGTAATCCCTGGGACGATGGATTATTGTTACAATTAGGGCAAGCCAAGTAACCCTTTGTACTCCACCGTGACATGTTACCGTACGCAGGGAAGTCATTTATGGTCCACATTACCGCCGCATGCATTCTAAAAATTTGCCCATTCGATGCATCATATGTTTGCACACCATGCTCCCACAAATTCTTCAATTCTTCTATTAATGGTTGCAGGTAAACATCAATGTCTCTTCCAGGTGCCGAACGTCCGGGAATAAGCAATGACATCATGCAATATGGCTCTTTCATGCACTTCCACGGTGGGAGATTGTAAGGCATTAAGATTACGGGCCACATGCTATATGATGTGCTCATATTCCCAAATGGATTGAAACCATCTGTTGCCAGGCCTAGCCTTACATTTTGAGAGTCATCAAAAAATGTCAGATGTTGCTTATCAAAGTCCTTCCATGCTTCACCATCGGCCGGGTACCTTAATATGTCATCATCCACACGCTTCTCATTGTGCCATCTCATATCTGCGGCTGTTTTTTTGGACATATACAGTCTTTTCAACCTCGGTGTCAAAGGAAAGTACCGCAATACCTTGTGTGGAATCTTTTTACCACCATCATCGTTCAACTTGTATCTACACGCGTCACATGTAGGGCATTTCTCCAAATTACCACTCTCCTTCCAAAATAGTGCACAATCATTCTTGCACGAATGAATTGTTTCATATCCAAAACCCAAGTCACGTAAGAACTTCTTAACATCATAGAGTGTCCATGGAACAGTTTGATCACATTCTGGTA